TTATTTCAGTGAAATTCATTCTACTCTTTATTTATTTTTTTTTTTTTATTGTATATAAATTTATATCTCTTTCTCTTTCTCAATAAATTGTACACATTCAAAAGGGGATTTTTATTTTCCATCTCTTGATTTATTTAATATTTCTATTTTTTAATATTTTCTTGTGCATGTATTTGTTTTTTTTCTCTAATGTTTTATAGGTCTCATTATTCACTAATTTTTTTTTCTCCTTCTTTCCAAACGTTTTTTAATTTTTCTCGAATTTTCCCACCATTGAGGAAACGCACCGGGGAAAGATCTGTACTTCGATTTTGAAGTACCCCTGGCCTCAACAGTATTCTTGACTTGTTTTGAATAAATAATCTCAAAGATTTCACTGCAAAATAAGCAAATTCTGAGAGACGATGTAGAAACACGTCCTTTCGCATCAGCTGATCCACTGCCACACCAATGCCATTAACATAAATAATACATACTTTTATTTAAAGTATATTATATACTAGAATATTTGTGTAAGCATTTGTAAATTTAAATAATTTTTTATAGCATATAGTAAAAAATGAAGTTTTATTTGTATTTGTGGTATTTTAACTAACTTACCATGGTCTTGATTTCTCTCTTCAACTTCAAAGTAATAGGTCATATTCCACACCTTTTTGAATTGGGTATATTTAAAGAAATTTTAAGACACAGGCCTTAATTAATTTTAAGTTGGTATATGTCTTTTCTTGTAATATGTTCAACACTCGTATTCTCATATTACTCTTTAATTTAGTTTTTGTTCTGTTTGATGGAAAATGTTTATTTCGCCAAAAAATCCAACAAAGAATTATCGGAATTTGTTCAACAGATTTTTGTTTCATCCATTTTATAGGTGAAAAGGTACCTATTAAGTTCATATGCATGTTAAATGTGTATGTAAAAACTTTATTGGAAATTGTTTATGTTGGTGATTTATTTTTATTCACAAATAGTTAAATATTCATTTTGTATTCACTGATAAAAAATGAAACTCGCAGTGACCATTAAACCCTGGAATGTTGAGAGTTTGCAGAATTTTGGACATGAATTCACTCAAAAATTTAGCTTTTATTTGAAAAATTATAAACCGTTAAATAAAGGTAATTTTATAAAGCAATGAATATGAAGCTATTCTAATCTTACTTGGCATTTTTTTTTTTTTTTTTTATACAGTATATTTTTTTTTATAATATCTATCACTATATTTTTAATATCTATCACACTATATTTTTTTTTAATAATATTTATCACATTTTAAATATTATTTTCAGGGCAATCTGTATTTGTGAAATAATACTTTTTTTATTTTTTCAGATAAAAGGAAGATACAAAGAGTATCTCCAAGTGGAGTTGTCCGAATGCGAGATCAAGACGATTCTTGGTCTTGGTCTTGCGCAAGAGTTTCACAACAGTCTTGCAGTTGCCTTATTATATCATTAATATTTCCTTATAACTACAGAAATATTACTGTAATTTTTTAGATCGGGGAAACCTAACTTAAAATCTTAAAATAACAACTCTATAACAACACCTTTTTAATTTTATTTTAATATGATCTCTTTGTTGACATGATGAGTTTTTACATTTTGACTTTATTTTTTTAACCGCTATTATGCTCCTTGGCAGGCAGGTATAAATCAGTGTCAAAATATTTAGTGACTTTAATGCGCTGAAGTTCTCCATCTGGGACAGGCAGGTTTTACCTGAAGGCTTCCAATCCACTCCTAACTCTTTGAGAAGGAAAAAAAATGTTGTAAAATAAAAAATGTAGTTTCTTCAAAAGTTTAGTAAATTTTTATTAACTTTTTATTACATTTAATTTTATTGTGCTTATTCCAACAAATCTCTCTAATTACAATTTTAAACTAAAACCCTCTAATTCCAATCTAGATAATTGCTTTTTTCACAATACATTAAATCTTTTAAATTAATATTTCATATTACTGGTAGCTATTAGTTATTACTTATTGTTTTAGATTCATATACAGCCATTTTACTTTTTACATTCTGTTTTAGTTTTTACTTTTGTTTTTATTTGTACTTTTTGTTTTAGTTACTTCCTTATAAATTTTTATATTTAATTTCTCCACATACAAAAAAAAAAAAAAAAAAAAAAAAAAGAATAGTACCTTAACTAAAATGTAAACTAAATTTGCATTATATGTAAATGTTTATAAATTTGCGCAATTTCATTTAGCATCGGTTATGTAAAATTTAGATTATAACCTAAATAATTAGATTATTTAGATAGTTCTATTGTTTTGGGGTACTATGGAAGAGGAACACAAATCAATTAGCATATTTTAAATAATGATTATATTTTTAATAAATAATAACGATTGTTTTAGTAGACTTTATTACGAAATAATATTCACTAATTGTAGTACAATAGTCATTTTTTTTACAAATGTTACAGTGAGTAATATGTAACTTAAATTTATAGATTCTTACATTTTAATCTTACACTTAAATAATTTCTAAAATTATAACTAAGAACTAAAACTACCACTAAGAACTAAATACCACTAAGTTAATTAAGTCCAATTAAGTTTATATGATTTTGATTTCTTCAGAAATAATACAAAAGAACAAATATCATATATGAATAATTGAGTATAGAAAAAACACTTTAAGAGTATTCACAAAGATTTGTGTTTAGCTAAATTAGCAACTGTACATAGTTTCATCAAAATGTATTTCATTTTGAAAATAACTGAAATACAACTGAAAGGGAAAATATATCACTGAAATCAAACAGAACGAGGCACACTGAAATGCTCTATGTCTAATTGTAATTGTTGAGACATATAAAATCGGTCGATCATTAGTTTCTTCCGATTCCCCGGTTTTTGAATTTCTCTGTTATACCATTCGTTAATCTCGTTTGCTCTCCTAACGTTCTCTGCCTTCTTTATAAAGTCATGTTCTATTCTTATCTTTTTGATTTTATCTGAAAAAATAAAAAAGTATTACTTTCACAAATACAGATTGCCCTGAAAATAATATTTAAAATGGTGATAGATGATCTCAAGAGCTCCAAATATATATATATATATATATATTTGTAAGATTTATTCATATACCACAATATATATATTGTGGTATATGAATAAATCTTACTTAACCAAATATATGTTAACAATTGTCTGATTTTATACCAAAAAGAAAAGCATTGAAAGGAAGATACAAAGGGTATCTCCAAGTGGAGTTGTCCGAATGCGAGATCAAGACGATTCTTAATCTTGGTCTTGTGCAAGAGTTTCACAACAGTCTTGCAGTTGCCTTATTACCTTATTAATATTTCCTTATAAACACAGAAATATTACTGTAATTTTTTAGATCGGGGAAACCTAACTTGGTCTTGCAACAATCAGGTGGTATAGGTATTGGTCTTGCAAAGTGTGAGACAAAGACCAATTTTGGACAACAGTACTCGAAAATTAAGGAAAATATTTTAAGAGATGTTGTAGATCTCAAGAGCTACAAAAAATTTTTTATATCAACAGAGGTCCGATTTGCTGCAGAAATGTAGCAAAACCTTAAGGTTTGTGTTTTTTTAAGGAAGACGCATTTTTTGGTTAATAGGATGCCTAAAAATATATTCAATTTAAGTAATTAAAACATACTATACTTTAAAATAAACAAAATTTACTTCAAATGATAGTAAGTAGATTTTATCATTATCAACTAACCCCCTCCCGTTTTTTTTATCACCGTTCAACTATGCTACTACGATACCCCACTTATAAAAGAACTTTCTTGTTTGTAAGCTTCAAGCCCATATAATTAAATAGAGGTTTATTATGAGATAAGTAGGGTTTCACCGCAATTTATATATAAAAAAAAAGATGTGATATATCCTGTGACCTAAAATTACTCGTGTTTTTAGAAAAAAATTGTAATAAATTATTGAAAAGCTTTAATTTCTTTTTACCATTAGCTGGGTTTTATTATAATTCACAAAATTACATAAATAAACTTTCTATAGATCATGTTTTTAGAGTCACAAAATTTAGCGTAGTTTAGCTGAGGAAAAGCCATTTTTTATTAGTATTACCAATGACAAACTTTACATTCCTTTGAAGAAAATCTATCTAGTTTACTCTAAAGCAATTAGTAATTACATAAATGGAGTTTTTTTTTATCTCTTCCTATTCAACAAAAAACGGGACCTACTTAATAAAACACAAAACTTAAATTTCCTTCTTTTTTGTAGAAATTTGGACCATTGTTATATAACTTTTTTTGTAGCTATTGGGCTACTTACTTACTTAGGCTGTACACTGGCATAGACAATATTGACAAACATTATTATTTGGAAAGTGGGGACCTTATAGTATGTATTTTATTGTAAAATTGGACATAAATATTTTTCACAATAGAAATAATTTCCATTGTTAAATATGTTTTAAATAAAGTACGTTATATGCATATCAAATATAATAATATATACAAATTAAATAATTACAGAATAAGTATGAACATGCAAGATAAAGATCATGAAAATTAGGTCAAAATGAATCAAACATTAAAAAAAATAAGTTAAAATATATGTTACCGTAAATCATAAAGGCTCCTGGCCGTTTTCTTCCCAATTTTTGCAAACTGTTGTTTACTGTAGTCATTCGTGACAAATCCAGAGCTAAAAAGTTATTCTTGAATTAGAATAGAATAGAAAATAAACTTTATTCTGGGACAAGAATAACAATAATGAACAGAAAACAAAAAGATATACAAAAACTATATTAATAAAGATTAAATAATACATACAATATATTCAGTGTAAATATATAAAAAAAAAGTAAAACCATTTAAAAAAAAATGTATTTTATTGAAATGAAAAGAAAAACAGAAATCAGTGGAAATAAAAAAACTAAATGTTCCAAGCACCATGAGTTGATTCTTAAAATTGAAACAATTTCAACAGCCATTCCTTTCGATAAAGATTTGATTCCTAAAATTAATTTCATTGTACATCGTCATTTTGGATTGTGAGAAGGAATTGGTAGAGTTGGTATTTGAATTAGGACAAGGAAGAGGCATGGTGGATATAAGATGCAAGGAATTCCAGTGGATCGGGCAATAAAGGAATATTCGAATGTCGTAGTTCTATGGAAAGGGGTACAGAGATCAGAAACATGCTTGAACTGTAGGATACTGTGGATGAAGGAAGGGTAGCGGGTGTTGATCATTTGGAATAGGTAAGATCCTAGGAAATATTGTCGGTGGGCAGAAGGGAAGAGTTCTTTGAAACTCTTAAATAGATATTATTATAAAAATCCTAAATTGTAAAATTTAATACATGTTTTTTTAAAGGATTTTTTTCCAGGCGTTAAATAAAGCATTCATAACTGCTCAGGATTTCTCAAAATTTAACGTTATTGCAATCGTTAGAAACCTGAATCTAAAATTTGAAATGTTTTTTGTAATTTGAATCAAATAATGGCCCACAAAAGCGTTCGTCATTGACAACTTTATAATGAGCAAATGGGCTTAAACATTGTTATAATGACTATAGGCGCAGAGGGTAGAAGGAGAGAGGGGTTCGAATATCAGAAAGTACATTTTTAATGAGGTTGAACAATTACGATCTTCTCATATATATCAAATATCGTTACAACACCCGCACAATGTTCTGATATCACAAGGGAAACTTTATCAATGTTGTTTATCGCTTAATGATTGTTTGGAATAAACCGATGATATAAAAATTAAACATTGATATATTGAGTGAAAATCTTCGATAACAATAATAAGGATTAACCGAAAATAGTAAAATATTAAAAAATAAACTTATGTTAACTTACGTTCTATTGGATCGTAAATAATTGTTCTTTCGCCGTTTTGATCCTCAACGGCTGGATCATTTGGTTCAACTTGGATCCCATTGCTGGTTTCTTCTCTATTCTTTACATCTTCTAATAAAATAATAATAATATAATTTTAATAAAATAATTAATAAATTAAACATATTGTAAGTTTATTTCAAAACGTCACAAATTACATTCTTTATAGAGATGAACTATTGAATAAGCATTAAACGTGATTTCCGATATTATATATCAATAAGACATAAATCACTAGTAAAGACATTATCCCTTTTATATAAGTCAAATATATTTACAATGTCCGCGTGATGTTCTGATATCACATAGAGAAAAATTAGCAATGTTCTTAGCGATGATATAAAATGTTTCTCAATGACTCTTTACAATAACCCGATGAAACACAAATTAAACAATGATATATCGAGTAAATATCTTCGATAAAAATTATAAAGATTAACCGAAAATAATAAAAGATTAAACAAATAAACTTATGATAACTTACGTTCTATTGGATTGTCAAGGATTGCTGGCTCATCGTTGTGATCCTCGACGGCTGGATCATTTGTCTTGATCTCGACACCATTGCTGACATCTTCTGAGTCCTTTACTTCTTCTTCACTTAACGTTCCACTACAACTTTCTTTGTTGGTCTGGTCTTCAACCACATCAATACACTCCTGTATTTCATCTGCAACACAATAATAGGTAATAAATACTATCCATGAAAATTAAATAAGGCATTGTAATGTGGCTTGCTGTACGTAATTACTCAGGTATTTCCAATTAGCACCTCTCAATACAACAAATAATTCCTACGGCGAAAATGTCTGCCAACCAATATATTTTTCGTTAATATCACTCAAGACATGACTGGACCCCAGGAAGAGAATGGTGTCTTCATTTTCCAAGGTTTACAAACCGGACAATTATCATTACCCTCTTGCACCCACGGTTTAAAACAAATTAAGTAATTCTGCCTTGCATCAGATTATGTATTTTCACTTGTATTAGACTACCTTAATTTTGTTATCTCATTATTTAATGTAATAATAAAATAATTAATAAATTAAACATATTATAAGTTTATTTCAAGACATCACAAAGTCAATTTTTTATTGATGATGAGTTATTGAGAAAGTTCTTAAAGTGAATTCCGACCTGATTTATAGATAAGAGATAATCTGGTGCGCGCATCACACGGCTTTCAATTACCACACTATTCTTACTAGAAATAAGTATTTTCAGACAAAGGGAAGTGAAATTGAAAATTATTGACGCTATATTTATTTACAATTCATTGTGAGTAATTTTGTTTGTTTAAGTGCGCTTATATATACAAATTTTAATTTTTATATAGCTCTATTCTATACAACTTATGTCCACACAATGTTCTGATATAACGTATAAAAAATTAAAGAATGTTCTTTGTGATAATATGAAATGTCACTTTATGACAGTTCGCTATGGATCGATGAAAAAGGTCAGTATAGCTTCCTCACAATTTTCTTTCGCTAGAATATATCGCTATAATATAGAATATATATATTGTGAGAATAAAATCGCTGAAAGATGCCGATTCGGAAATACAGGTACCCTTCAACAATCGCGGGTTTGATATCCAGGAATTTCATTTATCAACTAATATTAAAATGCGAAAGAGAGGCGTATTCTAAGATTCCAAATTAGATGATTTTTAATTTTAAAAAACTGAACATGCATATCACTACTATTAGTGCAAAAGGTCGTATGCAACAATTCATTGTTTTGCAAGAGAGCATAAACACAAATTATTTCTTTATGCTTTATCAGTAAAATTTCATATTTTTTTGTCCTCTGCTATTTTCCATAGTAGCAGACTACTTATATCAGTTGCAGACTACAAAATAAAAGTAGACAAATTTTTCATACGACATTTTGCACTAAGAGTAGTGATATGTATTTAATAGATATGTCATAAATCAAATTTAAAAATGAATTCTATAGTTATACTCATTCTTGACTTAAATACTGCACAAGCTTTAGTTAATGCAACACGAATGAGAGTGAGGTACTGATGGGAGCTACTTTAAATAAAAGAATTTGAATTCCAAGATCTAATTAAATATTTTTTAAAATTTTTCAACAGTAGATCTAAGTTTTTCCGAAGTCAGATACGCACTAAAAGTCCGAAAATGGAAAACAAAAGGCCATCTATACGGTAGCGATCACTACCCAATAGTTATAGACACATCGGGGACAATTAATGACATTCCCTCAAACATTCGATGGAACTACGAAAAGGCAGATTGGGAAACTTTTAACAAATTAATAACTGAAGAATTACAGGCAACACCAACTTATAGAAAAATAGATGAAAAGGTGGATTTTTTTAGTGAGCTAATTCTGAAAGTAGCAACAAAAACAGTTCCTACTATTAAAAACAACACCAAACACCATAGCGTACCCTGGTGGAATAGACAATGTAGTAATGCTATTAGAGCAAAGAAACAGGCTCATAATCGGTTCAGAAAAACTAGAAATTTAAAAGATACAATAGCATTCAAAAGACTAAGATCGATAGCCAATAGAATTATCAAATATAGCAAAAAAGAATCATGGAAACAGTTTGTGTCATCGCTAAATAATCTGACTCCAGTGACCGAAATATGGAATAAAATACGAACCCTCAGAGGAATCGGCAAACGGCAGAGACTTACTGGATTAGAAGTCAATGGAGAAATTATAACCAATCCTGGAGATATTGCTGAAGTTTTAGCAAAGTATTTCAAGGAAGTGTCTACCTCGAACAATGATCACACCCATAATTATACCTCAGGAATACATGAAAGGTACAGTTTAGTAAGATCTGAATTTAAAGGATACAAAGAACCGTTTCGGATGCAAGAACTAAATTCTGCCTTACAGAAATGCATTGGAAAGTCACCCCCTGGTTTAGATGGAGTTATTGGCGAATTCTTGAAAAAATTGCCTGAAGATGGTAAACTGCACCTTTTTGACATCTACAATGAAATATGGAACACCGGTGAATTCCCCTCCTGTTGGAAGCATCCAATTATCGTACCTGTTCAAAAAAAAGAAGAGAGTATCCAACCAAATGATTACAGGCCCATTTCACTAATATCATGCATTTCAAAAACTCTAGAAAGGATGATAAACACCAGACTTATCGATGCGCTGGAAAGAAGCAATGCCCTCTCCCACAACAGTTCGGGTTCAGATCAAACCGCTCAACAACTGACCCTCTACTGTCATTAAGTTCAGAAGCCGAAGAAGCTTTTTTAGGCAAAGAACGCCTAATTGCAGTATTCTTAAACATAGAAAAGGCTTACGATAGAACGGTAAGAGGTCTTGTATTAAGAATCTCTGCAAAATTGGTTATTGGAAAGAATATGTGGACATACATCAAAAACTTTGTGACTGACAGAAAATTTTGTGTACGAATAGGAAACAATTTCTCCTCCAGTCATTCCATGGAAAATGGTACTCCACAAGGTTCACTCCTCAGCTCGTCACTCTTCCTCTCAGCAATTAATGGTATCACGTCCGCTATTCAGATCCCCACTAAATGTTTGCTATTCGCTGATGATATAGTAATCTCAGCGCCTAGCAAATCTTTAGCATTCATCCAGTGGAAGTTACAAGATGCTGTTGAAAAAATAGAAAATTGGACGAAGGAAACTTGGTTCAAACTATCAGCTACGAAATCCAAAAGTGTCCATTTTTGCAGACAAGGAAAATGTCTTATAGACTCTCAAATAAAATTAGGAGACTCCATTATCGATTATGTAGAAAACTATACATACTTGGCAATGATACTCGATAAGAAGCTGACTTGGGTTCACCATATAAAACAGTTAAGAGACGAATGTAAAAAAAGACTAGGACTTCTTAAATGCATTGCTCATTCAAGCTGGGGAGCCTATAGAACGACAATCATCAAAATATACCATAGTGTGATTCGAAGTAAAATTGAATATGGAGCACAACTATATGGAACGGGTCGCAAAACGTTGCTAAAAATACTTGATTCCATCCACAATTCGGCTGTTAGAATCTGCAAAGGAGCTTTCCGAACTTCTCCAGTCGAAAGTATATATGCCGAATCTGGAGGACCCTCATTAGAGATGAGACGAATATATTTATCTATAAAATATGTATCCAAATTAAAATCACGTCCACAACATCCCTTGAATTCAAAACTATTTCATGGAGGATCTAGTAGGCGAGGGCTTAAGGAGATAGAGGGAAGCACATTTAAACAAATAATTTATAAAACGCTAAATAATGTAAACATGGATTTGAACTCAATTAGACCCATCCCTAACCTCAAAATACCTAACTGGAAGAACAGTAGACCGACCATAGATCTATCAATGACAAGACATAACAAAGAATATCCACTGAAAATTCAAAACTACTTTTTTGAATTATTGGAGAAATTGGAGAACTTCTGTTTAGCTTACCTGGAGAGATCTCCATATTTACTGGAGAAGCTACTGCGATCATGAAGGCCCTCCATTGGATATCAAATTCCAATGAAAATCAATCGATGATAGCATCAGACTCCAAAAGCGTCATGGCATCAATAGGTAAATCATGGCTAAGCAATTCAATAATAAGGGATATATTGAATCCACGGTGGGAATTAAAAGAAAGAACGGTCTGAGTGATATTTGTCTGGGTTCCATCTCATAGTGGTATCTCAGGCAATGAAAGAGCAGACCATGCAGCTAACTTAACAAGGAAGGGAGAGGCATCAACCATAATTTAAATAAATTATACCACAGTAGAAGACTGGGTACACCCAACAAAAAAGAAGTTGTTGGAAAACTGGATAAATAGATGGAAAAATAGACAGTCATAATTATTCGAAATAAAAACAGACTGCAAGAATTGGGCACAAGAATATCCAGAAGAGAAGTAACAATATTGTGCAGAATACGAATAGGTAACTGCCTGTTTACTCACGTATACCTTCTCAGAGGTCTAGAACCACCCACGTGCCAAAAGTGTGACAATAAACCGCAGTCAGTAAAACATCTTTTAGTAGAGTTCCACGAGTTCAACAACATTCGGCAAAAATTGAAAGTACCAATGACAATGAAAGAAATATTAAGAGACGACGAAGATGGAGTCGCCACCCTATCCCGATACTTAATGGAGACGGAATATTACAATATAATGTAGAAAACTAGCCGCCAATGACCCTCTAGAATAGAGGGGATTACAAATAAAAATAAAAAGTGAAAGCAATAGAAAGAATTAAATTAAATAAACCCTACATTATTTTTTCACAAATACTCAACCTTTGTCCAAATTTGAGCCAAATCGAACGAGCCGTTTGTGAAATATTGGCATATCCACAAAAATGCGTTTGCGCGTGCGTAAGCGAAAGTTCTGGTTAGAATTTAATAAAATTGATTTGGGACCATCTAGAGAGACACCGAACCAAATTTGATCCTTGATGTTTGAAACTTAAAAAGCTAGTGGAAATTTGCGATTTTGAGAACCAATTTTTTTTAACCTCTCCCACGAATACAATGCTTTCCTAGCTTCAGTAGTGAGGAAGCAATAATTAAACAATCATATGACAAGTATCAATCTACTTTTTAATAAAAATTATGTTTTTTATTAATCCTAAAATATATTGAATGTATATGTGTTTTCACTTGTATTATACCAGGATTAATTTATTTTATCTCATTTTTTAATGTAATAAAAAAACGTCTGCCAAGTAAGGTCAGCATAGCTTCCTCAACGTTTTCATTGGATTAAATATATCTATATTACAAGTTATACAATTTTTCGTCTGAGAATAAAATCTCTGGGAGAAGCCGATTCAGAAATACAATTACCTAATAAATTGATTGATATCCAATAATTTCGTTTATAAGCTAATATTAAAATGTGAAAGAGTGTCTTATTTAAATATTTCATATTTGATTATTCTTAATTTAAAAAAATACCAATGCCTACTCAACAAGAATTTCACTACTGTTAGTGCAAAAGGTCGTATGTAAAAATTGATTGTTTTACAACAGAGCTTAAAAACTCATTATTTCGTTATGCTGTATTAGTATAATTTTATATTTTATTGTCATCTGCTATTTTCCATAGTAGTAAGTATGGAGTAGTAGCAATCTATTTAGTTTATGAGTAGCAAACTACGTATATCAGTTGCAGCCTACAAAATTCACAAACAGAATAAAAGTTAAAAATATTCACATACTACAATTTGCACTAATTTTAGTGATATGTAATTAATAGTTTTCACTCGTAAAATGGACGGAACTAGAATATCCATAGAATAAATTCAAGTTGTTTGTTCTGGGTTAATGAGACCAATACATTTTTTCAGTCAGAACAAAACGCATTAAGCTAGAAAATATAGAAATATGGGTGAGGTAAACACGACTTCGATATTTAAGGAGGAAATCGAATCCAAGACGAATTAGTTAAACTTCAATGGAAATAAATTCAATAAAAAATACAACTTAAAAAAAGAGCTCTGAGTAAAAATTACATTAAATGTAACAAAAATTACACGAAACATAAGTAAGGGCAATAAGTGGCATGCCAATAACGTTTGGAATCGACCAAACAAAACAGTATAAATTAATTTTTTGAAAAAAACATAACATTTTATAGCCCTATAACAATATTGTTATAACATAACTATCACTCCATATGATCAGAGCCTTCAACATTTCACAGCCATTATATTGTTAACAATTATTTATATTAATTTTAATCATTAAACGGAATTAAATGAAATTGATACTACGTAATTTCTATACTGTTCTCCAAGTTTGGGACAAATCGAACGTGTCGTTTCTGAAATATAGTTATATCTAAAAAAATGCGTAAGCGGAAGTACTGGTTAGAATTTAATAAAATTGATATGAGACCATCTAAACAGACACCGAACCAAATTTGATCCTTGATATCTAAAACGTAAACTAGTGGAAATTTTCGATTCTGAGCACAATTTTTTTTTAACATCTCGCACGAATACAATGCAAAACTATCTTCGGTAGTGAGGAAGCAATAATTAAAAATCATATGACATGCATGAATCCACTTTTTTAAAAAAAAATCAAGTTAATCAAATTAAACGGAAAATATGATAAAAGTATTATGTATTTTCACTTGTATTAATTGTACTAGGATTAATTTATTTTTTCTCCTTATTAAATGTAATAAAAAAATATTTAATAAATTAAACATATTGTCAGTTTATTTCAAAAAGTCACAAAGTACATTTTCATAGAGATGAACTATTGAGTAGGTTTTTAAAGTGAATTCCGATTTGATGTAAAGATAAAACAAAAATGACTAAAATGACATATTCCCTTTTATGTATATCAAATATAGTGACAACGTCCGCACAAAATTCTGATATCACAAAGGGAAAATTTATCAATGTTTTTAATGATGATATGAAATGTTACTTAATGACTGTTTGCAATAAACCATTGAAAAAATAATAAAAGAATCATATAACAAGTAAAAAATTTCAATAAAAATAATGAAGGTTAACCGAAAATAATAAACTTTTGATAACTTACCTTCTGTGTCTGTTTCTTCATCTGTCCAATCTGTAGATTCACCATCGCTTAAATAATCAAGCATCCAGTGACCAACACCGAATTCCATCAGATCCCTCACTTCCGCACTCGCGGGACTTAGGGAACTATCGGAATCGAACATTAAGTCTGCAGACATGTTAAAGTCTAACTGAAGCACAAGGACACTCTCGGTACACTGCTGAATTGCAACTGAACAAATTTCAGGTACACCTTACCTTCCCAGTTTTGGTCCACCGTAATAAAGTAATAAAACCCGAAACAGGCAATGGCTATGGGTATAAGGGATGGCGTCACATAATGGAGAGAGAAAACACTCGTAAACTTTTTTTTGTATTATAAACTAAAATGAATTTGTTTTAAAAAAATTAAACAAATATTTTTAATATGTAATTGAAGAAAATATTTAAATACCGTTTCTGATAAACAATATAATCCATAAAGTACTACTGTTACATGATTCGTAAAAAATTGAAGATTAGATCTCTCAGATAGTGTATTTTAGTGTGTGGGTTTTTCTCTTCTCAGTGTTTTAAATGTGTACTAATTTTAAACAGTAAAATTATCAATTTTATTTATAATTTTAGAAAAGAATATTGGATATCAAAGTGCTGAATAAAATAACTAGACACAATTTTACTCAAGGTCAATGCCACAATCATTAATATTATCTCAATTTATAGCCGCAGAATTTCCATTGTCGCTGGGGAGGGGCGTTCGGATTGGTGTTATAAAAATTATAAGTGATAATCAACTAATAAATAATGCAATCTTTTTTGTCGATATTGAATATGGTTTTTAAAAGTCTACGGAATTTCCTGAAAACCCAAATAAAAATTATTAAAATGGATCAATTAGGTGCAAAGATATGGTCTCCAGTTTTTTTTATATGTTCTACTCCAAATGTTATATATACCCTTTGTTTGGTTTTCAAATTCTGAATGTGTCACTGAAGTAATGCAATTATTTCTTAGCATATTACCAATGTTAAAAAAAAAAGTTTAATTGGAATCACCTTTTATTTTTTTTTATGTAACTAGGAAGGTAATGTTACTTTAGATGTATAATTTTTTAGAATTAATAAACAATTGTGAAATAATTTGCAGCGTTTTTCAAAATTATTTTAAATATTTCAATAAATAAAAATCTGATGAAATAGTCTATTGATTTAATTATTGATCTACAATTGCAGTTCAAATTTGGAAACCGAATTATTAATAATAATTCAGATTTATCAACAGACAGTAGACAGCTCAAAGTAATTATTTTTAAAATCCATTAGCATTGCGGATTTAATTTATTTTTATTTACAGCGCTAATACTTTTATTTAATGTATGTGGCGAAAGTGCTCTCGACCAATCTCCGCTGGCTTTAATATCAGTGAGGTGGTTGAGTATTTGAGTAGCGCTGGGTTCTCTTCGAGTTCCCTCGCCTGATTGTAAATAGTGAATATAGGTGTGCATGTGTTTTTGATTAGTTTTAATTTTCTTATTGTTAGGTTAGAGATTGTTGTAATACTCAATAAAATAATTTTAAAAAAACAACTTTCATTTAAGATATTACATTGGCTTGTGAAATGTTTATCTGTAGATATGGAATATTTTACATTTTTGTTTTTGTATTTTTATTAAATATAACTTAAATTTTCATTATTACAATTTTTAGTTTAAAGTATTATATATCCTGGTTACATTTTAATGAACTCACAAATATTTTGGTTTAGCTAAATTCACAACATAGCTCCTTCAAAATTTTAGGTAATTTAAATCTTTTTTTTTACATAAATCTATTAACTTATAACTTTTATCGTGATTATTTACACAAATATCTTTCATAACAATTTTGCACTAAAACTTACTTATTCTAATCTAGATAATTGCTTATTTCACAATATCCTAAATCTTCTAAATTGGACAGCTGTTCGACAGAATTCTGTAAAATTGCTAAAATTTACTATAACCTGCAAAGACACCTCTCCTTCATTGAGCAGTGGTGCAACAACTGGCGCATCAAAATTAATGAATCAAAATGCAAACATGTAACTTTCACTCGAAATTAAAAAGGTGAAATGACCGGAAACGAAGAACCCAAATCTCCCGACATTTTTTCAACTCACTGCAAGCGTCCAGGAAGCTCATGGATTAAAAAATACATAGCAGTCTCCTTCGCTGAGGAGGGTAAGACATTCCTAATCTCGAGTCCATTCAAAATTTGCAGGTTTTTTAAAAATTTGCAAATTTAAAGGTTTGTGTTTTGTTAAGAAAGGCACACTTTTTGCGTCGCGATGCATAAAAACAGATCTAATTTAACTAACTAAAAATTACTTTACTTTAAACTAAACAAAGTTTATTTCGAACGAGAAAGTATCCGGCACTTGTTTTTTACCTGAGGTAATAAACTATTCATACCGGTGAACATGAAAGTGCTTTTACAAAGGTCATTGTGCCTCTTTGTGAACCTTTCAAGTTACCTATTTGAGTACCTGTCTTCCAAATGTATTACAAAAAAAAAACTTTTACTTTTCGACTCATATATTAATGAAGTAATAAAAAAACACTAAAAGAAGATATGTACATATAAAAGATAAAATGAAATTATAAAAAAAAAACACTTAAAAAACATATGTACATATAAAAGAAAAAATATCAACAGTATAAACTACGTATATACAATTTATTTTCACTTCGTCTTATTTATTTTGGTATGTAAAATAGTTCTATTACATTATTTGTACACGTGAACTATCAAATGTTCGTTTAAACGTTCAAATTTGAAAAAAAATCTGATGTGCGCAACACACAACTTTCCCTTACCGCTCTACTTAGATTACAAATTCATTCTGACAATGTTGGGCTTGTGACGTCGGGAGGTTCCATACTCAAGCTTGCTCGGGCAATGTACTATAATTGTATTTTTGTTTCTTATTGTTATATGATAATACACCCAAATTGTAAATATATATATTTTAAATACTTTTTATTATCATTATTATTAATTTGATCTACAGTCCTTAATGGACCTGGGTCTCAGAAACAAGCTTTCTCCAGGCTTCCCTTTCGGCAGCTATTCTTCTCCATCTTCTGATACCCAGGCGGCTGAGATCCTCCTCCACGTCGTTGATCCACCGCAGCCGGGTCCTCCCCTAAGATCCCTCCTGGGCGGTCATAGAGAAGTTTTTGCTAGGAAACCTATTCTCCATCCTCTCTACATGGCCCAGCCATCTGAGCCTACTCCTTTTGACAGTGTTCTTTAAGTGTTTTTTTTTTTTATTGTTTCATTTTCATCTTTTATGTGTACATATTTTCTTTTAGTGTTTTTTTATTATTTCATTAGTATATGTGTCGTAAAATAAATTTTTTTTTTGTGTTATTACATTTGTTTTTGTTTCTGTTTACACTTACAATAATACGAATATAATACAATAATATGAAGATAGGAATTACGAGAAGGCTTATCACTGCCTTATCGGAATTATAAACCTGCTAGTGAAGAAGTACCAATATTTGAATTCTTCGAAATAAAAGTTACCTTACCTTTACTACGCAACAACCAATCAACCAAACCTAATTTTTATTCTGCATATTCAGGGTTTCATGTAGATAATGATTTTTTTTTTCCAAATATTCAATCTAATCAATTCCCGTTTATTTCAACCTTATTTGTTTATTTTCATTTTATATTAAATTCTCAATTAGTTTTAAAAATTTTCTAACAGACAAGTTTTAGTTTAGTTCCAGGAAGACAGATAGTCAAAGAGGTCACTTGAAAGGTTTGCAAAGAGGTAGAATAACCATTGTAAAACCACTTTCACTTTTACCGGTATGAATAGTTTATTACCTCAGGTAAAGAAATGAAAAGAACTTGAGAGCGGAGGAAGAGAACATGAAAAGATTGAAGCAGGAAGAAGCAGAGCAAATGTCTCTTTTTGGTCAGTCATGATCAAAATGAAATAAATTTTGTCCAGTTGCAAATGTAGCTAAACGAAATTCTTTGTGAGTATCAAATACTTTAATTAATGAATTGGAATAATAAGTATTTTTGACGTGATATACGATGTAAATATCTTAAGAAAACTATTATATTCAAATTAAATAATTATAATTATATATTTATTTATGACGAAAACCATTTTTTCAGAAAGTTTTCGTTAATTTCAACCTTATCTATTTAATTTTATATTAAATTTGAAACTACGCATACATTTTTGACGCATCTAGCAGATTTCGCTGGCGTTCGGTTTGTCTGCTATTACTTGGAAATTCATTATATAGTGAGCAGATCTCGAGGCCACTGCCGTTTTAGTCTTCTCTGAGCCTCTTTTGAGAGAGAGGAAGAATGAGAGAGGACTTGTGGATTAGGGTGGTTAATAGTTGAAGTGTGGAATGTGGTGCAATGCACACGCGTTAGCCCATTCGGTCACCCCGCCCTCTAAAATAAATTGAAATTACATATTGTCAGGTTTTTTTTTTTTTTTTTTTTTTTTTTTTTTTTTTTTTTTTTTTTTTTTTTTTGTTCTTCTCTACCTCGCCTTTTAGGCTATACGGGATTTTCCGGGGGGAGAGGGCGGGGAATTTAAAATCCCCTCCGGCACCGGGACGCGAACTCGTACTTTTTATATCATCTCAAATCTCTGTTATCCGGTTGCCAGGCAACTAGCGGTGCTGTTACACACGCTTTAGCCTTTACGGCCACCCCGCCCCCTTCCGCTTACCTATATATGTAATATATAGTAAGGGTAAGTTGATTTCACTTTACACCGCTTAAATGCCCAATGTTCATATACGTCTTCCTCTAAAGTACCTTTAATATAGTTTGTTTTAAAAAGTTAATCATTTCACATTATTCAAAATAATGAAAAAATGCTAAATGTAACTTTTGAAAGAATTTGATAAGTTAATAAAGGAGAAAAAAAAATGCAGTAAAACCTGCGTTGCTATAGACTGTAGCGCCTAAACGAATGTACAGATTTCTATGAAACATCGCTATAGTCATTTTCTCGACACCATTTTAATTTATCTATATAACATACTTCAACAAAAAGAAGCTGGAAAAAAAGTTACGAGTGATGTTTTTTTATTATTTTTTTTTTTATTGAGTATTATAACAATCTGGAGGACATTGATTATAGTGAGATAGAA